TAACCGATAGCCCTAAAAGAGCCAAAATTTTAGCCGATAACCGTAAAAGCCACAGGCACTCAATTGAGACCCTCAAGAAACAAAAAATTTAAGCCTCATGATTGGAAGTCAGTTTTAGGTAAATATTTATCGGGCGGGTGACTCAGCAGAAAATGTGATAACTGACTGTTAACCTCGCTTTATATATTGGTCAGGGTTGTATTAGCAAGAATAGCTCAGGGGATAGGTCAGTGGAAAATTAAGACACTTACTGAGCAAAGGAGACTTTATGGCTATGTGGTCTTTACACTAGAGCCTGAATAAGCTAAGAAATATTCCAAAACAGGCAAATTTTAAATTCTTCAAGAAAAAGGAAGCTTCACACACAACCGTTTCGTTTTTACTTCAGGTTAACTTATTAAGGCTATTTTCCCTCACAACATAATTAAGATTGATTGACGTGATTAGCATTTCTCAAAGCTCTAGAAAGCGCATGTTCGCTAAGTCGGTAATATATAGATTTAGCCAGGGCTAAAAGCGAAGCTCTGGTCCTGTCATGAGCAAAAAACAAATTTATTATTTGTCTTTCCCTTGCCGTTGTTTTGCACGACTACAAAGCTGTTTTGTACGACTAAAACGTCAAACTTCCTAGTTACACGTTATTTTTATGGAGGAATTGTCGTATGTGCTTACACAACATTTTGTTTCCTGTGTTCATATTCGCTTTTATTTTTCACTGCCCCTCACTTTCACCTTAGCTTGCTGGCCGCTAGCATTTCTCATTTTCTCACCGCCGCTTTGAATTTCCATGTTTTTCTTCCTGCGAAATTCGTCTCCTTTGTTTTCAATAACTCTCTCTAGCTCTTTCTCTGTTATCCACGTTAGTGTAAACATAAAAAATAACGCCGAAAAGGCAAGACTTTGTTGTTGTTTTTTCTTTCTAAAAGTCCGGGTGGCCATGTGATTTCCTTCCAAATAAAATCTCGAGTTTCATTTGGGTTGCCATACCTGTTGATTGAGTTATTTTACATTAGTATGCCCGTGATGCGGACGGACTGTCGGGCGGGCGGTCGTCGGTCGGTGTACGGTCACGTGATTACCAAATGTTCTCGGATGGGTCGATTACCACATTTTCTTAGCTATGGGGCTCCGCCCACGCGAGGCGCTTCGCGCCGCGTACAGAGCTCCGCTGTTAAGGATAGTTTGCATGTCACTTGAAACTTTCTTGAATCGTTTCAACTTTCCGACTTTAATGAGATGCAAAGTAAAATAACTTGAGATTTTACTTAGGCCTTCACACACGTATCTTTGGTTAAGTACAACTTAGCAGCTCTTAAGTCTTACTTATCAGCTTAGTGCAAACCAATCTGTAACGTCAGTGGTCATTCCGTCGCCAATTTAATTTGATCCGAAGTGCCGTAACTTGATCACACTGATGTATAAAAATCGCCACAAGACTTGAATATACTCAACTTGGTGCTTTTCATTCTTGTGAAAAGTATTGATATTCTTTTACTTCAAGCACGTCTTCGTCCCTAGACTGCAGAACTCCTCTCGTCAAGATCGACAAGTCTGGTTGTGGCCGGGACACCTAATTCTTTGACCTAAGTCTAAGTCGCAAAGAAATAGAGAGGGTTCAATAGAGTACTAAAGTGATGACGTCATAAAAATGAAATTTCTGAAATTATGGGATTTGTCAGAATGTTCTGAAAGACCAATGTCCAAGAGGCCTACTTACTAAAAATGAGCATTTCGGGGCAAATTGTCTCTGAGATGTTAGCCGGTTATACTCAGAAAACTCCTTACAAACCCTTCTAAATTTTTTTGGGGTCGACCCCAAAAAAATTTAGAAGTGTTTGTATGGAGTTTTCTAACCATAACTGGGCTACGATCTCAGATCTCTCAAGATCAAATGCAACTCCCTGGCTGATAGATAAGACCACGACCCTTGAACCTCATGGCCTAAACCGCCGTGACGAATTATTGTAATCCATCTCCTTAGTATTTTTCCTTTCCAGTTTTTGTGTTGTACGTCATTTCCGCCTCTCCCTTTTAAACAATTTTTATTGCGACATTCTCCATCTATATAATATTGTGATTCCTACATAAGTTCAGTAACATCTGTAAACCTGAAGAAGGCTGGTATGGCCAGCCGAAATATTGTTATAAAAAACAATACACGTTGTTTTAAATCAGCTTTGCAGTAGTCTTTGGACTTCTCGTTCTTGGTTCTTTACATTTTGGCTGATTAGATCTCTTTTCTAGAGATCCAACATTTACAACTAGCAGGATCTTCGTCCGTTTGCAGTTAATTTAATCCTTTATTAACTAGAAATCAGGTTAAAACTGCGAGAAAAGGTATTTTTTGTGCTTTACATGAAAAATAACACATAAATAAGCATTCTTTATGATTTTAGCCACAAGATTTACTTTTATTGTTGAAAGAAGTGTTTAAAAAACATGTATTTTCACCCAAAATTTGCTTGACCACCTGCTACTTATGACGTCATGTCTCGTGACCATACCAACTGACCATCACTAAACTTGTCTCAAAATGTGCTAATTTATAATAGGCTAATTTACAACAGGCTACAACCTCGCTATCTTCGCAATTCGACAACTTGCAAACAGTTCAAGGAAGGCATCGTCTTAAATATTTGTTAGCTCGTTACACAAAAGAATATTTCAAAATGCTTTCATTGTAAAAATGTGTGTAACTTTTTTACCCCGATTATGGCAGTTGGTAACAATGATAATGAAGTCACTCTTCCACTCCTTTATCGCTTCTCCGGCAAAGTTGAAGGACGTTTCGCGCCAAAAAAATCATTTTAAGCCAGGGGTTGATCTTTCCTTGCAGCACTGGGAAAAGCCGCAATTATGGACGAAGTAAGCTACAGATTTTCTTTTTTAGTTGTTACAAAAACGTTTTTGTTTTTGTTTTTTAATAGGAAAAGCTGTATCAGGTAACTTAAAAAGAAGATTCTTTCGGCTCTCTATCACGGTTACGAGCCTGTGGGGGCTAAAGTCATCAACTAAGTGTAATAAGTTAGAGTGCCAATTACATCACTTACCAGCTCCCCCTTTCCACCATGCCACCTGGAACAGTTTGTATGGATCACGTGATTACAGGCCAGGTTATATCCACGAGTAACGGTGATGTCACCAGTGTTTGGAGTTACCAGGTTTTGCTCCATTGCCTGCCCACCCGCATTGACGATCGCCTGGGAGCATGCAGCTTGTGAACTGACCAGAATGTTAATAGCCTGCAACTGAAGAAAGAGGAATTCAATGACTTCTTTCTTCTATTCAACAATTGTGCAGACTTAACCTCGCGTGCTTCTTTGGACGCTTGATTCTGTTTCATGTGGGTTGGGCTTTGTCACAGTTCGACGTTAGTTTTTGACTATAAAAGAGGCATTTGGTTGTGTCATAAAATAGTGTTTTTCTCAGTAAGGGGCATAACGTGCAAAATGGCAGGACCCAGACAAGAAAAGGGTAAACCATTCCTCTTCACTTTCGCTATATTCCAAGAAGGGCTTGCACGGTCCGGCTCTCGTTATGAGTGAATTAATAGTTATTATTGTTCATTCAAAATATTTTTCCGTTTCTGATTGGCTGAAATCTTGTGGCTAATTCTTAGCTATTCTTCATAATCATCTAGTATTGTCCAAATAGGAAAACGTTTATTCAACAGCATAATTGCCAGACAAATGGACCGAGAAGCCCTGGGACGAGATTGCTTTGTTTTTGGTAGAGCGTAGACACTTCCACCGTTTTTTTTTTCAAGTTATATGGAATGTTGCTCCACAAAGGCGATTTCGACTATTCTTCGATCAGATCCTATTCAGCCTAATTCAATAGTTGTCAATTATTTATTATACAGTTAATGGTCACATTACGAGGAGATATTTCAAATACAATTATTACTGCACCTTTGACTTCAAAAAATCTATACAAAGGGATACATAGGGGATACACTTTTTGATATATATTTTTTTTCTAGGCTTGCGAGCGGGCGGAATCCTCCAAATCCTGCAATCTGATTGGTTCCGAGAGCGGGCAGTTTTTTACGATCTTGCCCGCTAACCCGGGCGGAATCGTTGGCAGCTTCATTCACAAGTTTGTTTGTTGTTGTGAATGAGCAAAGCCGGTGATTCCGAACCATTTTCTTTTAAAACTTGCGCTATTATTAGCGTTAGCTACGGAAAAGTGAATTTGTTATTCAGAGAAAACATCTGAAGGGAGAATCAAGCAAGTCAGCCAGGAAAACCGCTGAAGTAAAGCACAACAGGCGGCTTGTGATGTGGCTTCACTAGTTTTATAACCTACGCTGTAAGTACTGAAATCTTGCTCTCATGCCACCTTTTATAGTCCAGTCAAATTGTGGTTTAGCATCAAACTAATTGCAACATAATTTTTTTTCAACGCAATTTAATTGTTGGATGGCTATGTAACAACATACTAAAAATCCGCCAAAATCGGTTCGGTGAAACATGAGAAAAATTGGCAATAAAGATTTTCAACTTTCACCACAGGAAACCCAATTTCAGGAAGATCACAAATTCAGATAAAACATTTGATAATTGTTTTTTTTCCTCAAGAATTTTCGATACAACATCGCTAATGTATTTTAGGTAGTTTTGGTTTAAAAACGCCGACTGAATGTATGAGAAACACCTGGGTCAGTGTTTCGTCTTGACGGCTTCGCACAGGTTACCCAGCCACTCGTTTGTCTACACCTTCTTTTTTCCAAGCTGTAAGTTTTTTTCTATGACGGTATTTAAAAGAGAAATTATTAGTCAGTCTGTATTGACATGATTAAAAATATTAGTAATTTTATTTCTTTTTTGCGCAATATGAGAAATGCAGCATGGAATCAAATTTAGTCGCTGACTGATGGTGAACAGTTTGATTTGATATTTTGGTCACCTTCATTCAGCTACTAAATTTGCATCCATGCTACAGGATACGTGCAACTAAATGTGTGCAACGGACGATAGCTTTGTATCAGTACAAACTGTTTAACCTATTCCCATTTTCTGTAATCGAGTTTTGTGAGGTAGGTACGCAGTTAGCGTCTTAATTGCTTCACAGACATCTTCCTGAAACCCAGATACGTAGGTATCATTCCAGTTGTCCCCATGAACTAGGACGGCTGAGCTGGCGTTGAGTTGCTCACAAAATTGGTGCCATTCTGTGGTTTTCAATAGCTGGCGATCGTTGCCATCCACCAGAACTTTCTCCTCCGGTGTCAACTTACTTACAAGACTGGCAGCCTTGACCGCATGCGAAGCTGATGTGCCTATGATCCGAGCCTCGCTATCGATCACGAAAACAGCCTCCACGTCGTTCTTCTCTAATTCACATTTGACTTTCTCCAGCCCTTCATCTAAAGACAAAATTTTCAAAATGGTTTTTGACAGGCTTAATTTCTTCTCAACCATGCCCGAAATTTGTTCGTGGAATTTCTTGGTCACTTCCAAGAACAATGGTTGTGGGCCTTCAAAATAGATTTCCTCTGCTTCAGTGTCTAACTTTATCTCCAGTTCTTTGTTTCTTTCTTTAAGTTTTTCCACGAACCGGATCTTCTTTAACAAAGTTAAATATTCCAAAGAAACTTTTCCGTTTTCGTTACATACGTTTTTCTGGTTTCCTTCTGGTGTATTTCCTCTAATTTTGCTTTTAATTTCTCTCTTATATCTTCTGCATCTGAAGCCAGGGACACAATTCTGACAACTAAAGAATCATCGATTATTTTAACCAGCGGAGGTTCAACACCTAAACAAGCGCAGATACTTGGTAACTGAGCTTTCACGGCTTCCAAGAAAACTTTGTTGACTTCAACGTTTTGCTTTTTAAGTTTGCCCAGCCATTTTTGTACTTCGATCCTCTTTACATTCAGAACTCCCTGAGGCACTCTTATCCTCTCCGCGATACAATAGAACGGCTATTCTGCGGTTCATTTTCCAGCTAATTTCACTTGTCCTCGTAGCCAAAACTTCCTTAAGTTGATCATGAAGTGACGTTGCTGTGACGTATTCCATTACATCCGGGTCTACAACAATGTAAAGCCTCTTTGCGCGCTTTGGGCCTAGACCCCTGGCATGATGTACTATGGCTGTCCTCTGCAGAAGTTCCCACGTTATAATTACCCAAATTGGAAAATGCATGGTCCTCATCTTCAGGTGTATCACTAAAGATTCTGACTGTCAGTTGAGCCTAGTTTAGGTCATGTGGTCTTTCATGCTGTCCGTCTAAGACTCTTTGAACAACTAGTATTGAAAAGCAAGATTGAATTAATTCAACTTAAACCCTCTTTCTTCTACAAAACTAGGAGAACATGCAAAAATTTTTGCTTTGATGTTCTAGAGAAATTTAGTATTCAAGTGAGCTCTGACCTCGAGCTTCTTTGCTGACGCAAATTGAAGGCATTATATTGTATTTCTCCTTTTTTAATAACAAGGTGTAAAGGTGTATTCATGGAACGTTTGAATTCAGACCTGTAAAACCCGCTGAAACACTGTTAGCCACAGCTCGACCATTTTTAGACTTAAACAGCACTCTCTCCACAGGGCCGCCATTGTTCTTCGGACTTTGAAAGTACAACTTAATGAAGTAATGAGTGGTATCTTCTGAAATTCCGCTGACGAGAATGCTCTTGCACACGGAACTCGAGATCGAGGAAAACGCCCCTCTGTAGGAAACCCAGTGGAATCTATATCTTCACTGGGTCTCGGAGAAAACATCACTGCAGGTTTAGTTTATTTTCCACTGGGTTTTTCTTAGTTGTGTTCCGTTCCCACAAAAGCAGAAAGGGGTGGCAGACCTTTACAACTTTACCGGCATGAAAACTTTGAACACCTTTTACATATTGCTGTATCGAAAAGAACTAAACAGTTTACTCTTATGCGATATTGATTACCTGTACCTTCCGTATTTTGTTTTTGCCAATGGTACATGTGTAATAATGTTTTGTATTTTTGCTTCTTCTTATAAATACACTGGTCTTGTAAGTCATGATAGAAAGCGACCAGGGAAGTAATAAATCAGCCGGGTAGAAACAAACTATTCGCCGGGTATCGGGGAGGCTTAATTTTTACCTGGGTCGACTGAATTGAACCACTGGGTAGGGTTTCACTGGGTCTGTTACAAAGGGGTATAATATAAAATTGTGACCTGAGTAGAGTCCATTTCCCTCCTCTCATCCTCCTACTTAATTTTACTTAAATCTGAAAAATACAGTAAAATAGAAGAAAAATATCTTGAATTGGAATTGACTGAACGTTTGAATCGTTCTGATGTCAAGCTGATGTTAAATGAAATAATTTTCCATGAAATTGCGGATTATGGTTACTTTTGTGTAGAGTAACCAAAGAAAACAGAAGATGAAAAGGAGTAATGTATATGGAGCTGTAAAACGGCCTCAGTTCATTAAATTATTCAATTGTAATGATAATGGTTGTGACAGTGAAAATAATTTCATCCATCAATAATTTAGTCCGGTAAAAATGACCCTCAAATTCAGTCTAAAGCACTTTGAATGTTTGAGTAGCCGCAATAGATGATTATTTAACTTAAGTAATAAAGCGACCCCGAGCTATTCCTCACGGTTTTCGGAGAAAAGGGGACCAATATAAGACGCACCCAAAGTTTACAGCTTTGTCGTTTGTCGTCGACTCACACAGCCCACAAGTAAGCAAACTTACACTCTTCTCCTTCGTTTACTATTGTACAAGTACCTTTATGCTTTCCCTTTGACGGGCGTTGGGTTGATCCCATTCCTCCCTGATGATGTCCTCTATTAAGGTTACTGCAAGACCCTCCTGACTTCCCTTAGCCACATTTGTTTGGACCGGCAATTTCTTCTTTATCACCTAAATCAAGATCGTCAAAGGACCTACATATTTCATTTATCTTATCTGCGAGATACACTGGATGTTCATGTGTCCCGTCGTGACCTTGACCAACCCTTCCTCGTCCGCGTCTGGATTGATCTCTCCCCTGTCCTCTTTGAGTGAACGACGACTGGCCACGGACGTGGAAAAGGGGATCTCTTTCATGAAAGGTGCCTTCAGGTCCACGTGCTCTGTGGGTATGCGGGCTCTTCCTAGGATTGGGTGGCCTCGATTTTCCCCTCCAGTAACCGCGTCCCTGTTGACTCTGAAACATGTGGTTATCCAAAGGAAACCCGTGCGCCAGATTGTCGCTGTATTCTTAGTAGTCTTTATATTATGACCCTGGTCGAGCCTGCCTCCTAGTATCCGTGTTTCACGTCTACAGTTTTGGCCTCCTTGTATTGCATCACGATCTGGGAAGACCTGGTTTCCACACATTAGTTTGGGTTCATTTTCATCGAAACTATTTCTTCTGGACCGATGAACATTATTCTCCACTCCTCCATTTTCGTCCTGTGCTTCATGTTGATTTTCAATTTTCACTGGTATTCTTGTCACTTCGATTCTCCTTCCTGATAATTATGCAGCTCCGTTATTTCGATACCACCTTTCTTGTTTTCTGGCCTAGCCAATTCTTCTGGACCGTCCCAGGCAATAGGTTGATTGTTTGTGGGAGGTTTGATAAGGTCTTGTGAATTTTCCATGCCCTGAAATTCTTGTAACGTCTGTCGGGCTTTGTTTAAGTCTCCTTTAACATCATCCCGACAAAGGACTCTTTTGATAAGAACTGTTGGTACACTGGAGAAAAGTTCCTCTAGGGTTTTTAGCTTTTTCTCCATGTTTTCAAGATTCTCCTCTTCTTCAGTTTTTCTGGAAGAAGCTGTATCCATCGTCAATTTGTCCTGCTCCTCGTCGTTGTGTCTCCCTACTTTTATACATACGTTATCCTCTACGTCTACAAAGTGTCTGTTATCAAAATCCTCTTCTTTGTGGCCCCAACTCTCCTTTTCGTCTTTTTCTTTGTAAAAACTTTTGCCTTCTGTAAGGTGAAAAAAAACGCACATAATATACTGAAGTCTTCTGCATTTCCCCAAATTCTTAAACTGACTCGAATTATTATGAATACCTAAATGGGGCCCGTATTTTGGGGACAACGCAATTAAACCCCAGTTTGAAAGAATATCCTCAAAGTAATTCATTTTTTGCGACCGAAATACCCCTCCCCCCTCCCCCCCTCCCCCCGACATGCCAATACCATTAATTTTTTTGCATCGGCCGTGAGTAAATTGAAATTGCCTTGACACCTTTGGGCCACCGTAAATTAAAGAGTAAAATAGACGCCATGTCTTTTGGTAATAAGCCATCCTTGTCATTAAGGAGTGCCTTAAATCATGAAATTTAATTTACCCTCTACTCTATAGTATTTGAGGGCACACGAAATTCACTGGGGCCAGAAGCAAACAACAGAAACAAGTACTAAATTCAAGAATAACCTAAGAATTAGCCTGCGAAAACATCCGTTTCTCCTCGCTCTTCGCCGCTGGGGACGTTTCGCGAGGAGGAAACGTCCCAAGCGACGAAGAGCGAGGAGAAACGGATGTTTTCGCAGGCTACCTAAGAATGCCAACAGGACAAGAGCAATCCAGTTAATTACAAGCGTGGCAGAGACGTTAAACGCTGAATCTGGCCCCTTTGTCAATGCGCCTACCAAGCCCCTCCCTCTTCCTCAGTTAAGGGACGAAAGTAAGTAAACTTCTACTTTTTTCACATTTTCCTTTCAAACCAAAATCAAAATTCATAACAACATAGCGAGATTTTTTTTTATTCAGTGAGGATTGAAAATAGGGTTACAGGGGCTTTCTCCATAACTTCCTAGAGACAATCTTCTGAGTCCTGGTGCGTAGTCAACTATAAATGTTCAATATGAATGTATTCACGCTCGACTGAGAATTTGTTCAAGCAAACGTGCGTGGTGACAAAATGGTTTTCTTGCGTAATGAGATTCATGAATTAAAGTATTTTTGGAGCTATAACGACTATGAAGGCATTAAACTAAAGTAAATACGAACTATGGATTGAATGTTTGCACCAGACTCTACATGACTCCCCTCTCCACATCGTAAAAATTCAAAAGTTATGATTTTTGCAGAAATGCAGTGTACATAAGACTAAGTGAACAATTTGCTCGCTTTAATCTCTCAAACTTGATTTTTGCGGAGTCACATTATATGACCTCATAAAATGACCTATGCGCAGTAAAATCCCAAGTGTTAGGAACTTTAAACAATAATGAATCCGCAACAGAAAAACTGAAACAATACTGAAAGTCTTACTTCCTCATCTTTTATGGTTTAACTATATTGGCATCATTTTTTGTATATTGTAAAGAATCGTTTGGTCAAATTTTTGGCCTTTTTTACCCCTTTCCAACTCCTCATGTCAACGCGTGTCAGTTTAATTCAATTTTATTATGTTTCCCTGTGTTGGTTTTATCTTTCAGTGAAAAGTAAATCTGCTCAACTTAGAAACTGTCTAGATCTGTACGTTCA